TTTAACAGCTCTGAGTTTGTGGGATCTGTTATCTGAACTTTGTGGATATCACTATGTTTGTGTAAATGTTATAGTTTATAATACATAAACAAAACCCACTTTTTATCCATAGTTTGAAGCAAATATATAAACAGTATACTTGGTTTGCATATAAACATTGAGCTATAAAACCTGTATAAATTTAGTAATGAACTCCCCTCAGAATTAATTACCTACAAACAGCTGCCTAGCGTTTGTGTCCTTTAAAAGAACCTGTTTACATAAAAGTGGTATATGCATCTTGTGGTTTATAAAACCAAGTTTCAAATATTTCAGAAATGGAAATGGTCATAAAGGAAAAAAATGAAGAGTAGATTTCTATTCATGCCTTAGCCAATTTTGCTAACCAAGATTCTTCTGTGTTCCAGGAGGAAAAGTATGTGTGGGGGGGGGTGGGCTGGGGGAGGTGGGGAGCAAATACAATTTTAAAACTAAAGAAAAATACCTCAGACAGAAAAACTAGAGAGAAGAGGAAAAAAATGAATCACCTAGCTCAGGTGAGGATATTTGTGAGTAATTATGGTGGAGGTCCCTGACTGCCTGGGCTCATGTTAACAGTTTTGTGGGAGCTGTGCAGGAAAAATAACTGTGGAGATGGTGGTCCCATGACACACTAAGATTTTGAGATCTAGTTAAAAACTGGGGCTGCTAGTTCAATAGTAAATCTGTTCCATTGTTTTGAGTTTCCTAGACTTGCTCCGACTCTTAACGGAACTGTGGCCCATTTGTGCCTTCCACTAGGTGCTGTTACTACATTTTCTTCTGTAAACCACACCCATCTTGAAGAACTACAAAGGGTTTTCTCCCTAAGCTTGGGGTGGGGGTGAGCATTTACATCTTTTTCCATTTGGATCTTCAAAAGCTAGTACATAAGCTTTTAAAAGTCCCTGGTATCAAAGGACCTAATTCACTTGAAGGTAAGGAGCTGGCAAAAATTGAAACATCTATTTGGTAGGCTACAGATCTACTGGCAGTAGAAACTTTGTTTCTTTCCAAATTTATGAATTATCCAGATAATTAAAGTGAAACATTAACTTGTAAATTAACTTGTAATTTAAAGTCAGGAAGTACAAAAAAAGTTGGAAGGCTAGTCTGTATTTCAAAGAGACTAGAGACATAACAGTGAAATGCAGTGCTTGGTTCTTGCTTGCATTGTGGATCAAAGAAAAGAACATCTAGAAAAGGATGTTACTAGGTCAGTTGGGGAGATTTGAAGCTAGATTATTTATATATTAGATGATAATGCTATTAATGTTTAATTTCTTGAGCATGTTAAATCTGTTGTGTTTGTTTATATAGGAGAATGTCCTAGATCTGGAAATGTTGAAATATTAGGAGTTTTAAATGGTTTAGAAAAGGTACATACTTGCTTTATCTCTTATATACACAGACACTTGAACACAGTGAAGTGTATGTGGGTGTTTATTGTATTATTCTTATTTTTCCTTGTCGTGACATAATTAAAAACTGAGAAGTTTGGGAAGCAGTTGAGAAGGGTTGATACTTCATTCACCAAATGTGCATCTTCTAAATGTCAGACCTGTGGATAGAACATGGTGCTTGGGGGGTGATGATAATCCTTTAAAACAACACTGTGTTGTAGGAAACTGAGACACACAAGTGTAAATAACGTATTAGTAGAGAAAGAACCTTTCCTTGAAGGTAGATATTTTAGTTCCAGATATCAGACACTTAGTCATTAAACTAAGAAGTGTTATGGTGGTTGCAGCCAAACTGCGGTAGAGTTCTGAATTCCATGCTTAGGAATTTATGCGTTACTCTTTATTTGTTTCACTATTCAGAGTGTGATACTTGCTGTTTAGGACATGACTTGGAAGCTTGTTAGGGATATAGAAACTTCAGTCCGATCAAGGCCTACTGAACTGTAACAAAATCTGCAGACAGTTTTGCACATTCAAGTTTGAGAGCCACTCTCCCTAGTACAGTTTTTACATTTCTGTTAGTGTTGCGTTTAAATAATCTTGACTGTTGTTCTTGGTTCCTAGTCAACATCGACAATATTATTTTTTAAGTTGGAGAAAGCTTTAGAATTCAACAGTAACTTAATAAAGGTTGGTAACCCATTCTTAAGATAAGAGTAATTTGTAGTTGATGAAATAGTAAGCATCTGTTCTGTATGTATTTTCTGTTGAGGTGGAAGAGCTATATTAATTGTATTAAAAATCAGTACTTTATATAGTTCAGCTACTTATATGGTATAATTATTTTAGTTTCTGTATTTAGTATTTAGATAATACCTAGTAGGGAAATGTGTTGAGTGCTCTGGAAAATGAAATTAATGTCTGTGTTAACTTTGCAGATATCGAAGCACAGATTCGAGAAATCCAAGGCAAGAAGGCAGCTCTTGATGAAGCTCAAGGAGTGGGCCTTGATTCTACAGGTTATTATGACCAGGAAATTTATGGTGGAAGTGACAGCAGATTTGCTGGATATGTGACATCAATTGCTGCAACTGAACTTGAAGATGTAAGTACAAAGTGTATGAGTCAAGGTTTTATGTTTTTTCGGGGGGAGGTAGAGAGCAAGTAATATAAAAGAATTTTCTCTTGGAGTCATCTGGTTTAATCTGGGGACACATGTTGGAGATTGGGAGGTCTATCTTTTGGAGGATAAAACTGTTGAAAGTATTCTTCCTCCCTAAAGTTCAGAAACTTCTGAAGTGTTCAGTTCTGAATCTTTATGGTAAAACTAGTTTATTTAGCAAAGCACCTGCAGATGATTAACTGTTGTAAATTCCTTTTGTTACCTCTTGAAGCTCCGTCTAGAGAACCCATGTGAGAAGTGACTTCGTAGTGAACAGCCATCTGTTCTTGTGACCTGATTTCTGACTTGTGCGTGATGCTGTTTGTCCGCTGCTTCCCTTAGCATTTTAATATGAATAGACTATTTCTCGTTACTGATATTAATGGGCTCTTTGTGCCTGTTTTAGTTATTCTGGAGGATGACCACCTCTCATTTTGAAATATATCCCTCACAGTATTTTTTTATATATACCACATAGCTTACATTTTGTCAGATCATCTCAAACATTGAAATTTGGTGAAATGGCTATCCATTTTTGTGTGATTCAGTAACATTTTATTTATATAGATAATCAGACTTGTTATTTTTATGACATTCAAACCATACTTTATTTTATGGTTGGCACATTTTTTTAAAAAAGATTTTATTTATTTTTAGAGAGGATGGAAGGGAGAGAGCAAGAGGTAGACAAGCATCAGCATGTGAGAGAAACATCCATGGGTTGTGTCTCGCATGCCCCCCACCAGGAATCCCATCGGCAACCCAGGCATGTGCCGTGACTGGGAATCAAACCGCTAACCTTTTGGTTTGCAGGCTGGTGTTCAGTCCCTTGAGCTATACCAGCCAGGGCTATAGTTGGCAGATTTTTAAACAAGTAAATTAAATAGGTCTCAAAGGTAAAATTTCTAGAAGCCAGTCAGACCTTCTGGTAAGAGACAGTGATGGCTGTATGTTTGAGAAACTGAGGGGGACATAGGTGTTTCTTTTCTTTTCTTTTTTTTTTAAGATTTTATTTATGTATTTTTAGAGAGAGGGAAAAAGAAAGAAACGTTGATCCATTGATTGCCATTCACATGCCCCCAACTGGAGACCTGGCCCACAAGCCCAGGCAAATGCGCAGACTGGGAATTAAACCAGTGACCTTTTGGTTTGTGGGATGATGCACAGCCCACTGAGCCACATCAGTCAGGGCAGTTGTTTCATTTTTAAATGAGTGTTAAGATATTGAGAGTTACCCACTGTTGTACTTCTTATATTAGTAAAATAATATAACATTTTTCTGTTTAAACGTACTACTAGGGAAATAAATACATTTAAAATTGACTATAATCTACTTGTTTCTGTGGATAAATCATGTTTTTTTAAATAATGAGTTAAACAAGGAAACTGGAGTTTTAAATAAACTGTTCATAGTTTCCAAATTTGAAAAACAGATTTCATCATGTCTTCTATGAGAAAACAAAATGCTCAGATTTTTCTAGCTCATACCTACTTTATTTTAATTGGCTTCCACAGAAAGCATTCCTTGTTTAATATTTTTAAAGGAATAAAAACTAATTTCTCTAATAGCTTCTTTTGAGTTTAAAAGAAAACCTATTTGTACAAGTTTTAGGAACAAGGGTTCAGACATTGCACTTACATCTTATTATGTCATGTTGAATCTGAGTATATTTTTCTAATTTTAAGATTCTGGCGTTTTGTTGATGGCTTTTTGGCGACATTGTATTGCAGGATGACGATGACTACTCATCATCTACAAGTTTGCTTGGGCAGAAGAAGCCAGGATATCATGCCCCTGTGGCATTGCTTAATGATATACCACAGTCAACAGAACAGGTGATTATTTTTCTTTGTTAAAACCAGAGTTTATTCAGGTAAAGAAAACTCAATTCCCATGGAAGCCCACTTTGAGTCAAGTTATTAGAATGTTTTGAGGAGAGTTGATGTGGGAGAATTAGAAATAATGCTTAATTTTATAAAGGTAATTATTTTGTGAAGAATTGAACTATGGAAATATGGGTATTATTTCTGTTACTGTTTTTTCATATTAACATTTATAAAATGATACAGAATATTTCTTTTATTAGTAGGCACTTACTAAACATTTTTAATGTTTTATGTTCTGATTTTTGTTTATAATATTCTGTTTGATTATTTAATAAAGTGGTTATTAAGTGAAACATACCTTTTTTCAGTATGATCCATTTGCTGAGCACCGACCTCCGAAGATTGCAGACCGGGAAGATGAATACAAAAAGCACAGGCGGACCATGATAATTTCCCCAGAGCGTCTTGATCCTTTTGCAGATGGTAATTCTTTCCCACTTTTCTTTAAGTATTCATGAATTTGTTTGTATTAAGTTGTCTTTAGCCCTTTGATTTTTTTTTGGCATGCTTATGAATTTGCTTTTCTTTTTAAAACCCCCCCCTTATTATAGATGTATATAGATTGGGTTGAAGTCACAGATGCCATATTCTTCATCTTTATAATACAAGTTTTCTTTCCAGGTAGAAGGACAAGAAAATAATGAGCCAATGCCATAGAAACGCAAAGGGTTAAAGGTTTTTCTTTTTCTTTTGTTTTGGGTACGCTTTCTATACTTTGAACAAATGTTTTCCTGCTCAAAATACTTTCAAATTATTGAAAGTTTTCATTCCAAATCCTAGATTTTAGGATTGTTACTTTTTAGAAACTGTTTCTCACATTAGAGCCCCCTATATTGCTCTAAATATAGTTTAGTAAATGCACCTACTTTGCATTAAGCATACTTAAAATTAAAACAAAAGTATGTATACAAAGACTTTGATATTTTTAATAGTTGGAGTTTGTTTTGCTAATTTTAGAGTGCAGGTCAGCACAAGGGGCATAGTGAGCCTGATGGAAGCTTTCCTCAGGTGAGTGAGTTTCAAAATCAAAATTAGGTGCCTGTTTCTTAAAATGAGATTCTGCTGCAGGTTTACAAATTAGACTTTCAGCCTGCATGAATTAGTAGGGATATTCTTTTTTTACTTGCATAATTGTAATTGATTTAAACATGTGTGTCAGAATTCACAGGCCCATACTAACTGTCCTTAATTTCTTTCCTACAGCAGTACTGCTATATGCCAGTCCTGTCTGCATTCTTAAGGGTGCAGTTCAACACATCCTCTCTAGATTATGGTGAAAAAGTATTCCAAAGGAGGTCTTATCAGAGCTAGTGTCAGAAAGAATGACACTATCAATTGGGCATGATCTTCAGCATAGGAAATGTCTTAGGAATTTTATTATCTTCCTAAATTGTGTTGCTATACTACTGTATAGCTAATTACCACATTTCTAAAACGAAGTGTGCCTCTGTGAATCTTGTTATATACTGTTTGGGCTTCTTTAAGATATTTTGAAGTTTGAAAAACGAATATTGAAACTTTAAGAGACCAACATCTCTTTGTACACCACTTCTTTCATGTGCTTCATAATAACTGGTGGAAAGTAATATATATTCAAGTAATGTGTTTTCACTTATATTTGTACTTTCTAAGAAAATAAAAATGTTTCTGGGTCAACAAAACTTTATAAAGCATGAAGCCCTTTTTAGTAACCTGACATGAGAATAAGATTGTAGGTGTATTTTTAAAAATGAGATTTTCTAAACTATAACTGTTTTAGAACATTGTATGAAGAACTTACCTAGCTATAGTTACTTGTAGTCAGGATTTTAACAGCTTGCAACAGGTAATGTTTTGAATATAAATATCTTTCCAAAGTGTTACTAATGGTAAAGAGATAATTTTCTAGGCTTCTATTCTGCTGCTTGAAGTCAGAACTGCTGATGGAGACAAAGGCACGAAAGTGTACGTATTCCGGATTAGCAACCCAGGAACCCATCACTTCTGAAGACTAAACTGTGCTGTCATTTTGCTTTTATATGCATTAAAATATTTGTTTTAAACTGCTGTAGATATGTTTGTGTTCAAACAGGTTAAATTGATCAGCAAACTCAATAAAAAGTAAGATATAATTATTAAAGTTTTCCATCAAAAAATAAATTAAATGATTATGGAATAACATAATATTAGAGCAGGGCAGATAAATCAGTTGAACCTAATTACCTTTTATTTATTGTACTCTTGTCCTGTTGCTGTTCTTTTCTGCAGGAGGGAAAACCCCTGATCCTAAAATGAATGCTAGGACTTACATGGATGTAATGCGAGAACAACATTTGACTAAAGAAGAGGTATGAACCTGCTTTTTATTTTAAATGGTTGTGAAAGAATATAAAGAAACTTGAGATTGAGAGACTTATATTTTCTTTTTATTTGCTGCACAAGTAATTCAGTAGTATTGATAAAAATTGAGAAAAAAACTTATGCCAAATTCTGCCACCTCCTAAATTAAACCTTCTGTTTTTCTATATCCTTTTTTTAGTCCCTGGTCCCTTGGCCATATACATAAATATGTACCATATTTTGCCGTGTATAATGTCCACTTTTTGCCGAAATTTTTGAGGGAAAAACAAGGATGAGAATTTTATGTGGGTATAATATTGTGTATAATGTGCACAAAAATGTGGCTGTGTATTATACACAGAAGCTCATTATACACGAAAAAATAGGGTATCTTTTAGTGAATACATCTATGGGGAGGATTGATAGTGTGTCTAAAGCTAGTGTGTAAGGGAAAGCCAAGTAGTGAAATCATTTCTTGAAAAGCATGTAATTCTCTCATAAGATTGAGTTTGGCTATAAATGGAGAATTCTGAAGAATTCCTACTGGCCTACAGAGATCACTTCATTTTGGTTTAATATTAACTTAGTCTCCATAACTTTATTATGAATATATAGTAAATTTGTCATATGGATTAAGTGGGATGATGGAACCACACTTAAAAAATCATAGGATAAAGTTAAATGGATTTGTTAGGATGTTATACATAATATTCGCATAGTTATAATTTAAACATTTTCACTTTTTACCACTTCGCTTTCTTGTTACATATAATTGCTGTTTGTGTTTTAAACATAAAATTGCTATTTATTTGAGTTTTAAACATAATTGCTATTTGAGTTTTAAATAAACTTTTTCAGTGGAAGCATTTTCATTTGTCCCCATTGACTGAAGATTTACTTCACTAACCATATAAAGTAGGGTGCTCTATGTTATAAATTCTGTACTTGTTCCTCTGTTGTGCGGAAAGACATTGTATAAAACTGGAAATAAAGAGAAGGAGAGGGAAGATAAGAAGCAGGGACTACCAGTAGCATGGAAAAAAGAGTGAATGAAGAATAAAATAACATTAAATATAAATGTACCAATGATATAAAAATATATTGAAAATGTTTTAAAGATACTCATTGCTTATTCAAATGTTCACAGAGAGAAATTAGGCAACAACTAGCAGAAAAAGCTAAAGCTGGAGAATTAAAAGTCGTCAATGGAGCAGCAGCATCCCAGCCTCCCTCAAAACGAAAACGACGCTGGGATCAAACAGCTGATCAGACTCCTGGTGCCACTCCCAAGAAGCTATCGAGTTGGGATCAAGCAGAGGTGATTTCATTTTACTTCTAATATTACTTTTATAATTTTTTTTCCATAAGAAATGTATTAGTCTGCTCTTGTAACAGAATAACACATTCTGGGTGGCTTAAACAGACATTTATTTTCTCACAGTTCTGGAGGCTCAAAGACCAAGATCAAGGTGCCAACTGAAAATGGAGATTTTGAACAGTATATGTGCTTTACTTACCTAATGGAAAATTTCCCAACTCTGAGTAATACATAGAATTTTTTTAAATGTAGAAATAGAGTCTTAAATTTAATATGGTATTTATGCAAGATTGCAAACAAAGTTAGCTAGAGCTCTTATATTGTATAGAAGAGCATCCAATTTTAAAGCAAATACATAAAAGTAGACTATTACAAACCTGTAGATCAAGGGTGTCCAACCCGTGGCCCAAGGTGCCTGTGAATGCGGCCCAACACAAAATCATGAATTTACTTAAAACATTATGAGATTTTTTTGTGATTATGTGTCACAATGTATCTAACGTGTGGCCCAAGAGAGCTCTTCCATTGTGGCCCAGAGATGCCAAAAGGATGGACATCCATGTTATAGTATATTTATGCGTCATAAATTAAATACAAATTCTTTTTATTACCCTAAATCACCTACTGTTTTGATATGGTATTGTCTGCACTGTGAAGGTTCTTTGCTATTGTGTGCTTAGCTCATGCCCTATATCACCTACTACTTAGTCTCTATTTGAACTGCCTTGGAACCTTTGATTACTTAAACCTTTTTTCATTGATTCTGCCAGCATCAATTTACAACCACATTTGAGTGATACTGCAAATGTGGTTGTAAATATAAATTCATCTTAAAGATTGCAATCATGTGGCACTATGTAGTTATAATTACCCAAGTGATCCAAAACATTCTTATATTAATCAAATAAACACAGAATTGAACAAAAACACAAAAATAGTATTAGTGAGAATTCAATGGGCATATGTCTCTAAGCCAGCATTTGAGCACTGCTGGTAAGACTAAAGCTGAAATTCTTTGGTTACAGGTCTGTACGGGGAAACCTTAGTGACTGCCCTAAAGTTATGGAGTTAGTAATGCCAAAACTAAGATCCCTACTCAAAATACAATTTTTTAAAAACCAGGGCTTTTTTTACTGCTCCAAAGACTTTAAGACTTTAGATTGTATTTAGTGGTAAACATGTTTGTTAGAAAATAGGTATATCTTAAACAGGATAATCCAATCTAATTATAAGGAGCAGAACTAAAGCATTTATTTGCTTATTTTTAATTTTTATTGAACTTATTGGAGTAACATTGGTTAATAAAATTATAGGTTTCAAGTGTACAATTCTATAATGCATCATCTGTATATTGTGTGTTTACCACTCAAAATCAAGCCTCCTTCCATTACCATTTATTTCCCCTTTACCACCTTCTACCTGCCCCCACTCCCCCTTTCCCACTGGTAATCACCGTACCACAGTATGTGTCTGTGAGCTTTTGTTTTCGCTTACTCCCTTTACCCAGCCCCCCAACCCTCCCCACTTAGAACTTTCAGTCTGTTCTCTGTATCTATGAGTGGTTCTATTTTGTTTATTTTATTCATTAGATTCCACATACAAGTTAAATCATGTTTAAAATTTTTTAACAGAAATTTTCCAGTTATATTTATGTAGGTGTGTAGATGTGTGAAATAAAATGTTTTTGTTCTGTTAAGACCCCTGGACATACACCTTCTTTAAGATGGGATGAGACACCAGGTCGTGCAAAGGGAAGTGAGACTCCTGGAGCAACCCCGGGCTCGAAAATATGGGATCCTACACCGAGTCACACACCAGCGGGAGCTGCTACTCCTGGACGGGGTGATACACCAGGTCATGCGACACCAGGCCATGGAGGTGCAACTTCCAGCGCTCGTAAAAACAGATGGGACGAGACCCCCAAAACAGAAAGAGGTACTTTTTATGGAGTCTGGGCATTTATTTGGGTGAAACGTTGACTTCATTAGTGGCATATTTATAGGCCGAAATCTGTTCTTTCTAATCCTGGCTAGATAGGCAAATAACGAGCTGCTTTAGGGACAAATAACTGAGCAGCAGATCATATGCCTAATTCTTTTCCCTTCTTGAAGGGGTATAAAATTTATTTTAGTAGTAAAAACATTAGGAAGTAAAGTTTTATATACTATGTTTTATAACCTCTTGTTTTTTATTATAGTGAAATACACAATATGTGAAATTACCATATTAACCAATTCAGTGGCATTAGGAACATTCAGTGTTGTGCAACCATCACCACTATTTAATCATCCCAAACAAGCTCTATACCCATGAAATAATAACTCCCCATTTTTGTCACTTCCCAGCCCTTTGTAAGCACTATTCTACTTTGTATAAATTTGTTTAAATCTTATTTTTTTGTGTAAACCATTTAATGCTGTTTATGAGAGCTGCAGCAAGTTAAGATTTAATAGTACATCTGCTATATTAAACTTTTATAAAGAATTTTTAACGGTAAAGGAGAGTATTTAACGTGTAATGGATGAAAGAAGCAGAGCAGTCTCAGCTGCATGGAGAAATGAAAAGTGGCTCGATAGACATAAAATGGCTGTCTCTAGGTTCTGATGTTATGGGTGGTTACAAAAATGCTTTTTCTGTTCCTTAATGTTTGCTATGTATTGTTTCTGTAATCAGTTGAAAAGAAACAAAAAATAGTGAAGGGGGGATAAATACGAAACATTTAAACCTAAAATGGGCCTCCATTTTAGGAATATCCGGTTTTTGAACTTGATCAGCTTAAATATGTTAGCTGTTTGAAAATACAAAGTAAATTTTTGACAGCAGTTAAAATTATAGGCTTACACACTTTTTTTCTTTAAAGATACTCCTGGGCATGGAAGTGGATGGGCCGAGACGCCTCGAACAGATAGAGGTGGAGATTCAATTGGTGAAACACCCACTCCTGGAGCCAGTAAAAGAAAGTCACGTTGGGATGAAACACCAGCTAGTCAGATGGGAGGAAGCACTCCTGTTCTGACCCCTGGAAAAACACCAATTGGCACACCAGCCATGAACATGGCCACCCCTACTCCAGGTAGAAGTTCTTAACTGTCTTATATCCTAAGGATCTACGTAATGATAAATACTCGCACTACAGATTGTTACAGAAATTTGTTTTTTTGGTAGGTCACATAATGAGTATGACTCCTGAACAGCTTCAGGCTTGGCGGTGGGAGAGGGAAATTGATGAGAGAAATCGCCCACTTTCTGATGAAGAGTTAGATGCTATGTTCCCAGAAGGATATAAGGTAATAACATGGAATGTGACTGTGTTGGTTTTTAGGGTGCATATTTTATTTTAAATGCCTTTTAAGAAATTTACAAGTCACGTTTGCACTGGTCTTGCCTGTATTTACTACTGCCATTCCATTCTTTTAGTTATTTCCAAGTATATATCTGTTTCAAAACGTAATAGGAATGAAAAATAAATGACACGAAGCATTTTATTACTTTTGGAAGGTGAGAGATCTCAGGGACTTCCAGGACCATATACTTTGAGAAGTGCTCCCTTTCGAGTATGAGATAGCTGCTGCTTCAGTTTATCAGTAGTCCCAGGATTAAGCTTACTTTAGGTTAATCATTATTTAACTTGGTGCTTCACAAGATGTTGCGTATCTAGTAAGTTCATGGATTGCCAGTGAACACAAAGAGTATTCTCTCTTTACTATATCAATTTGAAGTTTATTTTGAACTATAAAATTTTCTAGGTACCTGGGACTCGGGGACCATATGCTAGTCTGAAGGTAGTCTGGGCCTAATAGATGGTATTGTCATAGCCAGGGCAGGAACCTAAGTCATCTGATGGCATTTACAGAGCCCTTTCTGCCAATGCCTATTGCTTTTTAAGTTTGTGTGTATTTTTTCTCTTACTAGGTCTGTATTAATGTGTTTGTTTCAAGTATTCATGAATTTCTACTTTATAACATTCTGTAGCTATGCCTGTGTCAGTAGTGGTGGGCCTACTATTAACTGCCTGTGTTCTCAATTGCTGTCACTGATTTCCCTAATATTGATAGAGAAAAACCCTCCTTAGTGAATCTTCAATGAGATTTTTTTACTTATTTGTATTTTTACTTATTTGTATTATTTGTATTTTGCTTATATGTACTTTTACAGTACACACTACTTGAATAAGTAAAAAAAATAGGGCTTTGGTAAATATTTTGGTTTCAGTTTGTATGCATGTAACTGGTTTTTGTGAAGTGATTTAATAAGATTTGCTTTTTGGTACAGAGATTTTTATGTGATCTTTATTGTTAAAATGAAACCAACATGCTTATATAGATTGTTTGAAAGTGATAAGAATTTTATAATCTGCTTCATTATCTGCTCCTAATTTTCCCACACTCCTAATCACTTAAATTTCATAGGCAGATGAAAGATAGGAATATTTGTCATATATATTTTAAACTTATAATCAAGATAGAAAAATGGGATCGGTGGTACATTCCTGTCTCTAAGCAAAAAGCTTCCTACCTAATAAACTGTAAAATATTTTAAGTGCAAATATTATTCATCATGTTATTTCTTAGTTTATCAAGTCAAGAAAATCCTAAACTGTCTTTTAACTGTATTAGGTACTCCCTCCTCCAGCTGGTTATGTTCCTATTCGAACTCCAGCTCGAAAGCTGACAGCAACTCCAACACCTTTGGGTGGTATGACTGGTTTCCACATGCAAACTGAAGATAGAACTATGAAAAGTGTTAATGACCAACCATCTGGAAATCTTCCCTTTTTAAAACCTGACGATATTCAGTACTTCGATAAACTCCTGGTAAGTGATAATAGCAGAAATAACATAACTTTTTATTTAGGAATTACAAACCATAATGACTCAGCTTACCTTTAAATTATTTTCTTTTTACTTTATTAGGTTGATGTTGATGAATCAACACTTAGTCCAGAAGAACAAAAAGAGAGAAAAATAATGAAGTTGCTTTTAAAAATTAAGAATGGAACACCTCCAATGAGAAAGGTAAATAAATACCAGTTCATTAAATCATCATGTTAATTATAATTTTATGTTTAGAAATTTATAATTATCCTCTTGAGTTTTACCAGGCACATAGTATGAGGGAAAAAAAGATGTGTACTATGAAGGACTTAAATTTTTTAATCAAGGAATTTTTTCCTAATAGGAATGTTGAGAAGGAGATTCTTTTTTTTTGTTTGTTTGTTTGTTTCAAGGCCTTCGAAACATGCTGAAGACTCTTAACATACTTAGTGTAATTATGTGAGGAATTATAATAGTATCATATGTGGCTTGATGGGCATTCTTTAGAGGGAGTGAAGGAGCTGTATAAACCCCAGTGGCTCCATCGTTTACTGCTTTTTTTTAACTGAAACATTCAACTTCTGTCATAGGAATTTAAGCTTTCAAGTAATTTTAAATGGGAATTAACTTTCAGCTTTTACCCTGTGTAAAAAGTAAAGTGTACACTAAATGATTGTTACAGAAAATCATGAAATAAATGACTTGTTCACAAAGCTTAATTACAAAGAAACATACTCTTTTTTTTCCCCCCCAGGCTGCATTGCGTCAGATTACTGATAAAGCTCGTGAATTTGGAGCTGGTCCTTTGTTTAACCAGATTCTTCCTCTACTGATGTCTCCTACACTTGAGGATCAAGAACGTCATTTACTTGTGAAAGTTATTGATAGAATATTATACAAACTTGATGACTTAGTTCGACCATATGTGCACAAGGTTTGTTATTCTCAAGTAGTGTTTCTAATAATTTGATGTTTTTAATATGAAAGGAATTAGTGGATTTTTACCAACTTACGTATTTGTGCAACTTAAAAATTCTAAAAAAGTAGTAACTGATGCTTTATGTTCACAATAAAAAGGGCAATTTTACCTGCTTGGAGACACTCAGTTATCAATGGTAAATTCACGTCTTCTCAGACCTTTTTCTTTGCACAAGCATGCATCGCACATAAATAAACTTGTGTATATATAGATGTAACATTTTGCTCTCTTTATTAAAATAGGCTTATATTACTCACTTTTTCATTTGCTTTATTGATACTAGATTAGGATGAGGAAATTATGATTCTATACATGTCATTTAGTGTTAAGGACACTTTTTTTTTTGACCGTGGCAGTTACGGATTAGAATTATAAAGTGCAGACAGATATATAAATTCTTTTAAACAAAATTTTAACTGTTAGTCTCTATGGTTAACAGTTCTTCCAAATTTTTAACATTGTATGGGGTTTGAAATTGCAATTAAAATTCTTAATTTGTCTCTTGATTAATAAATTTGTCCTGGTAATTAGAAATTTAATAAAATGAATTTTTGTATATTTGTATTTTTAGATTATGTAAATGACATGTCATAATACAATTTTTTCTATATGTATTTAGTTCTATTACATGAGATAGCATCAGTAATTGGTGTGAAAAATAACTCTTTTTCAGATCCTTGTGGTGATTGAACCATTGTTGATTGATGAAGATTACTATGCTAGAGTGGAAGGCAGAGAGATTATTTCTAATTTGGCAAAGGTATTTGCATTTTATTTTTAGAGAAGAAAGTTTTATATCCATTGATGGGATTATTTGATTGTACAAGGAAATGGTTGAAGGTTAATGGTACTAACTCATGACTGTCCTTTTTACTTGACTTTTTAGGCTGCTGGTCTGGCTACTATGATTTCTACCATGAGACCTGATATAGATAATATGGATGAATATGTTCGTAATACAACAGCCAGAGCTTTTGCTGTTGTAGCTTCTGCCCTGGGCATTCCTTCATTATTGCCCTTCTTAAAGGCTGTTTGTAAAAGCAAGAAGTCCTGGCAAGCCAGGCACACTGGTATTAAGATTGTACAACAGATAGCTATTCTTATGGGCTGTGCCATCTTGCCACATCTGAGAAGTTTAGTTGAAATCATTGAACATGGTAAGTTGTTATATAACTTTGTCTTTTATAAGCCAGGTGTCCTGAAATTTAGGCTACTGATTCGGAGAGATAAATGGAAGGGCTTTAACCACATAAACACCATATAACTTTTGATGGAATTTGTAATATTATCTGCTGATTGGGCTGTATTGTTATGGTTTTTGCCTAATTTTGTCTAATGTGAACAGATTGTGCAATTAGATTACATTGCTAGACTCTGGATATTGTGGAAGTTAGGTAATATTTTGCTTAGTTAAAACCTGTACTTGGTATTATAGGTCTTGTGGATGAGCAGCAGAAAGTTCGGACCATTAGTGCTTTGGCCATTGCTGCCTTGGCTGAAGCAGCAACTCCTTATGGCATCGAATCTTTTGATTCTGTGTTAAAGCCTCTATGGAAGGGTATCCGCCAGCACAGAGGAAAGGTAGATCCACCAATTTAGATTTAGATTTATTTTTTTACTCACTGAAGCTAAGGCAACTTAAATCCAGTTTACTAAGTATATATATGTTTATTTTAAAATAGGGTCTGGCTGCCTTTTTAAAGGCTATTGGGTATCTTATTCCTCTCATGGATGCAGAATATGCCAACTACTATACTAGAGAAGTGATGTTAATCCTTATTAGAGAATTTCAATCTCCTGATGAAGAAATGAAGAAAATTGTGCTGAAGGTAATTGTCCTAAATTATTGTTGTTCCAGATTTGTTAATATAAATTGGGTGTGTTTTATGATTCAAAGAGAATTTTAAAGCATTATAAAACAATTTTGTATATTAAACCAAGACTTTGTTTATGATTATTCTTTGACCTTTTATAGGTGGTAAAGCAGTGTTGTGGAACAGATGGTGTAGAAGCAAACTACATTAAAACAGAGATTCTTCCTCCTTTTTTTAAACACTTTTGGCAACACAGAATGGCTTTAGATAGAAGAAATTACCGACAGGTAAGCTTTTATTGTAAAAAAATATTTTCAGAAATCCTTTTAACTAATTCTTTAGTCAGTTTAAATGCGTGTTACATGTTATTTTTTGCCCTGATTACCTCATTGTTTGTATAATGTGCTTAATTGTGAAATGAGATGTGTTTTAGTGAGTCAGTTAACTTCCATTTTGATTTTGCATTCGAGGATACCTACCCAACTATGAATTAATGTCTTTGTCTAGTAAATAAAATGCATGATCTGTCTAGGTGAAGCATGAATATAACCTTACCTTAAATCACTTTGATGTAGACTCATTTAAAATTTTTTGGTTACTTTTCTCTTAAAGTTTTAAAAATAAGAGTTGATTGTTCTCAGCATGCTTACTAGCTGAATAGTATTTTTAGAAAGTTTTCCTTTTCATGATGTCTGTTTTCTTTGAAGAACAATAAATTCAGTAGTTGTTTTTCCTTTTTTAGTTAGTTGATACTACTGTGGAGTTGGCAAACAAAGTAGGTGCAGCAGAAATTATATCCAGGATTGTGGATGATCTGAAAGATGAAGCTGAACAGTACAGAAAAATGGTGATGGAAACAATCGAGAAAATTATGGGCAACTTGGGAGCAGCAGATATTGATCATAAACTTGAAGAACAATTGATTGATGGTATTCTTTATGCTTTCCAGGAACAGACTACAGAGGTAATGATACTAATTAGGACAAGTTGCCAGTGACTTTTGTAGTGTAAAAAAGCACGTTACTTGCTCAAGCAAATATTATTACTAAATATTAGTTGACTTTGAAATAACTTTTAAGATGCTCATGTCCTCTCAACTATGAGGAAATACTCTTGCCTCAAGGTTTTAGATTGTTTTGTTGAAAAACTGAATATTAATATATTTCAACCTTTCAGCCACAAATTGAATTCTAGTTCCCAATGTCGTTTTAAAAAAATTAAATGTAGTTTTTTTGTTTGTTTTTTAGGACTCAGTAATGTTGAATGGGTTTGGCACAGTGGTCAATGCTCTTGGCAAACGGGTTAAGCCTTACTTGCCTCAGATCTGTGGTACAGTTTTGTGGCGTTTAAATAACAAATCAGCAAAAGTTAGGCAACAGGCAGCTGACTTGATCTCTCGTACTGCTGTTGTCATGAAGACTTGTCAAGAGGTAAATTTTGATGTCAGATTCTTAATTCTTTACCAGCTAGTTTAATATGAGCAGTAATCTTTTAATATTATTTTTTTTAATTACAGGAAAAGTTGATGGGGCACTTGGGTGTTGTTTTGTATGAGTATTTGGGTGAAGAGTACCCTGAAGTATTGGGCAGCATCCTTGGAGCACTGAAGGCCATTGTAAATGTAATAGGTATGGTATTTGCTGGTCATGTAAGAATTTTTTTGTTTTGGTTTTTAACTTAAAAAATTCTTTTTCAAGGAAAATAATAGACTTGTATTTAGCAGTTGAGTAATGATTTCTGATACTTTTTTTTTTTTAAGTACTTCAAAATTACAGTTAAGTCAGGGGATGTCCCCATAGTCTTATTTCCCAAAACCCATGTACTGCTTTAAAAGAGAAAAAGAGGGCAAGTTTAGGACCTGCAAAAGAGGTAGTAGTAGTCACAACTCAAAAACTGTCCCGCCTGAAATATATTCGTGGGGGCGGGGGCACAGGGGAACAACTCTGCAGTTTTAATTTAGGACAAAATATATTTTTATTCAACCTTGAATTAATGAGTGATTATGGCAAGTTTTTCTCTTTGCTTTGTCAAGTTTTAGGAACATAACCAGGGAGAAAAATGAATTGCTCACGTTGTCTTGTTTTTATTTATATCTAGTTTTTAAAAACTATCCATTTAGTGTTCTAACCCAAAATAAAAACAAGTATATTAAAATGCTCTTGCATATGGAGAGCAAAGCTTTTATTCTTTAATGTCATTACGATGAAACAAACAAATGGTCTCTTGTGTTTAATCCTTCCTTATAATTGAGCATGACTGTTGGAAAAAGAACTTTTGCAGGGGTTAGAGGGGCGGAAATAACCTAGCAGGAGGTCATAATAGCTGGCTGTGAGAGCCACTGTTTACTTTCAGTAAGGGGTTTTTATACAATATAAGAGATCTTTTACCATTGCATTTACATATAATCCCCAACTCAGCCCTCTCCTCTACACTTAAAGATAGCTATTTGGCCAACAATTAGTTACTTGGCCACTTGTGGGGCTCTAGTTTGCAGGGAGTTTGTAAACCATATTGTTGGTCAGGGAAACATGGGAAAAGCAATGGAGAGAGAATCAGAGCAAGCAATTCTAGTTAGAGCAAGAGCCCCTGCCAGCTGCCTCCTTTTTTCTCTCTTCATAGGTGTAAATACCATCCAAGTATGCCCTGCATTGCAGGGAGACTGGAGATCTGTTTGTTTTGCAGTTAAAGGGTAAGGGGGCCCTTTTCTGGAAAATTTTACTTTAATTTACATGTCTGCCTCTGGCTTACATTGTTGTGTATGGCCGGAACATAAGCTGTCCCCATATTTAAATGTCAGTGTACAAATACATTTCAGAACCAAATAAAACTTTTTTTGTTGTTGAATATCCATCATTCTTTAAATCACTTCACTAATTTCTTTCATTTCTATGCATAATCAGAAGTTGTTAATAAAGAGTTAACAATCCTAAGTCTGGTCAGAATCTGGGGCTTTTTCTTTGCATAGGCAGCTGTAAGTTTATATTTATGCCTAGTCATATATGTTACACTGCTAAGTAAAAGGTAAAATGAACGAAGGTTGCAGTTCAAATGTTGATTGATAGTATGTTGGCTTCTATTAAATAGGTATGCATAAGATGACCCCACCAATTAAAGATCTGCTGCCTAGACTCACTCCTATCCTAAAGAACAGGCATGAAAAAGTACAGGAGAATTGTATTGATCTTGTTGGACGTATTGCTGACAGGTAAGCAGATTAAACATTTTTATAAGCATTATTGGTTTTCATATTGAACCACTTTTTATTTTTATAATTTGTTTAATGTTGCTAATGTAAGTATATATGTTCAGGTTACCCAGTATTAGTATTTTCAGTGAAATTTCAATTTGGGTGGTAATATTTTTATTTAATGCTTAAGGTGAGTTGATGGTCGTATTTTGAGAAGTGAATTTGCTTTTTAAAACACTCACAAATTAACTTTTTTTTTTTTTTAATTAGGGGAGCTGAATATGTGTCAGCAAGGGAATGGATGAGGATTTGCTTTGAACTTTTGGAGCTCTTGAAAGCTCACAAAAAAGCTATTCGTAGAGCCACAGTCAACACATTCGGTTATATTGCAAAGGCCATTGGGTGAGTACTTTTTACTTCCATATGTACTTTGTAACAAACCCATTGTGGTATTGAAAAATGCTTCTATTTCTGTAGGAATTTCTTTAAAGGCATGGTGTGAATAAAGCAGTTGTGAAAGCACTTCATTTAACCACTGACGTTCAGTTATTAAAATGTTTTCTTAAATTTTAAATAGAAAAAAATAGATGGGAGGTTTCTGAATTTAATCACACCAGATACTTTTAGAGAGGGAAACTATCATTCTCAAGATAATTTTAAGATTTTGTTGGTCCTTTTTAGAATATTGCTTGAAATATTAATGCCAGTTCTTAATTTAAAAATCAGCATAATTCAAAGCTCATGTTAGTGTTTTATGTGTTTCTAAACATTTTTATAAAAATCCACGAACAACTGAATTACAGCTATTTTATTAATAAATCTATGGTTATTTGCTTCCATTCTGTCAGAACTAAACTACAGTTACTGTCGAAAAATGAGATACTACATATGTCTTAATAACAAAATTCTCAAGGTAAAACATAACTAAAGTAAGATTAATTAGATAAAGTCTTCCTACCACCCTTTTTGATAGCAGTTATATCTAGTTAGCATTAATATAGTCAAGAAATTCACAATTAATAGCTGTTGTGGTAATGTTTAGCCTCTGTAGCCCTTTAACTGTGTGGTAAAATAATGCTTGAAGGAGAATAGATGTAGTGAAGGTGGGGGGAAGAAAGGTAAGGAAAGGAAAGCAGGCTCTGTGTGCTGTGGCATGGGAGGCCTCAGTTTGGGTGCTTCCATAAGGGTTCCTTGCTCTAGTGGCCATAGGTCATAGTTTAAACACTCAAATAATCAATTTAAACATTTAATTAAATTTCTTTATATTTCAGGAAATTTACTAAAGATTGAAAATTACATTTGAAAGTGAATCCATTTAAATTTTCTCTTTAAATGGACATTTTAATTTAAACAAAATTCTTAAGTAGAACTAATGCTGGTGGCTTGAAAGTATTGCATTTTATCCTAAAATTACTAATTTCCCAGTGATTACTTATAATAAGCTTTCATTTCTTTGCATTTTTTTTCCTTCTGAAAAAAAAGTTTTGACTTGTGATCTAACAGTTTTCTGACATTTATTTTTTTTCAGCCCTCATGATGTATTGGCTACACTTTTAAACAACCTCAAAGTTCAGGAAAGGCAGAACAGAGTTTGTACCACTGTAGCAATAGCTATTGTTGCTGAAACATGCTCACCCTTCACAGTACTACCTGCCCTAATGAATGAATACAGAGTTCCTGAACTAAATGTTCAAAATGGAGTGTTAAAATCACTTTCCTTCTTGTTTGAATATATTGGTGAAATGGGGAAGGACTACATTTACGCTGTCACACCATTACTTGAGGATGCTTTAATGGATAGGTAAGTGGCTCGAATGAAATGCAAGAATATACTTAAAATTCTTGCTTTATTTTATGGGAATAATTATTATGTGATCTACTGTGTTGCAGTTAAAAAACGGGAATGCTGGCTTGAATTTTTAGTAAGCTGTAAATACGACTATTGTTACCTTTAGATAATACATGCTACAGTGCTCCTCACCTTTTAAATTCTCTTTCATGTCTATTAGACTGAATACATATTGAAAACCAGTAATTGATCAACTTTTGTTTTAAAAATTAAAGTTAAGAAATAGAGGAAATGATGAGCATTTTAGTGGTGTGGCAAAGAAATTTTAGTTTTTTAGCTTTTGTTACTGCAGGTGAAGCAAAGATTTCTGTTAGGCTTTTGAACTGCTGACCATAGCCTGCCAGAGCCGCCTCGTTCCCATTTTATGCTCCAAGTTTTCACATGGTGTAACCCATTGGCACCCTACTGCCTAAGTTATTTTACAGAAGCTTCCCGATACCTTCAACCATCTGGACTAGCATAGTTTTTAAACACAAAAGTAACTAAAGAACATGTAAGGGAGAGAGTTCAGGGTTCAAATGTTTCATTGCCTCTATTTTTTAGGAAACTAAGTTTCTCAAATTAAAGCCCATTGCATACTTTTGTTTACAGATTCAAGTCTGTATACTCATTAATAATCTTTCAAAATGGAGTCTTAACAGCATTTAGCAAGTTACCACAAGTAACTTGTAAAGGCATGGGGACAGAATAAGAAACATGCTCTATAAAAACCTGCCTAGCTGGAGCCCAGTAAAGTAGGAGTAAATCATACTCCATATTCTTCAGTGACTGTACATCGTAGTGTGTCATTGATGTGTGTGACCTGCAATTGAAAATTATGTTGTGTGTACAAAGTAGCTGAGGGTGATAAAGCCATCAAAAATTAGAAAAGAAACAGTATTTGAGTTGGGAAACTTATTAATGAGGAATACTGCCTTGCTGTGAAGCTTAATAGAGTAAACATAATTGTAGTAACTAAGAAATAAGGATACTAATAAGTTCAAGTACTGATCTTGAAGGTACTCTTACTATCTTTTAGGGCAAAGGGCGTGAACTCATTTTTATACTCATCACAAACCTGTTATCTGATGTTTACACTCAGTTGAGTAGTTATGAAATGAATAATTCAGTGATTTGTTACAAATTCAGTTGACATGGGAGATGATAGTTCCTGTTTTTTGTAGGTTTGAAAAAAAATTATTGGTCTTTCTCTTGCTCTCCTCCAATTGTATACTTAAATGAAACTTAAAATGCATGAGGGCAGGGATTTAATTTTATAATAATTTAGTTATCTATTGGATACCAGTATTTACTTTTTAAATATTAAGAGTCATATAACTTCTCTTTCATAACATACTAAAATGTACACTGCATGGAGCTCTCTTGATCATATTCCTTGCAAAAGTTTATTAGAAAACAATATTTCTAATTGCATATTCCTTGCAAAAGTTTATTTAGAAAAAATTTCTAATTTCTAAATTATGGCTTATTTTCGAGCCATAATGAGGTTTGAGTCATTGAAAGTTCTCAAGTAGAATTAATCTTTTCCCGTTAGTCATTCTAAAGGCATTCTATATGAGCTACAGGTGTGAGGATGACACTGTCTCTTCCATGTACTGAATGTAATTTCTAACGGGCTGGCAAATATTTCTTGTAAAACTAAGAGTGTATTTTAACAAAGAATTTTTTTTCCATTGCAGGGACCTTGTACACAGACAGACCGCTAGTGCAGTTGTACAACACATGTCACTTGGGGTTTATGGATTTGGTTGTGAAGATTCACTGAATCACTTGTTGAACTATGTATGGCCCAATGTGTTTGAGACATCGCCCCATGTAATTCAGGCCGTTATGGGAGCCCTGGAGGGCTTGAGAGTCGCTATTGGACCATGTAGAATGTTACAGTATTGTTTACAGGTAGGTTAAAGATTTTTAAAAGATTGCTCAATGAAAAAAGTAATTTAGTTGAATGAAGTCACTGTTCCTAGTTTTCAGTAACGTATATTGTGTTGTACGGGAAAATAGTTGTAGGGGAAGGGGGAATTAGATTTTTGCCTTTGCTCACTGCAGCTTTGTGCAGTTGTCAGGATTTGGGTTTTTTTCCCGTCTTCAAGGGAGGAATCATATATTTATGGTTTGTTTGTTAGTTGTGTTAAGGTTATGTATGTTTTTAAAAATGGAAATAATGTAATCTTTTCATTATTCTAGGGTTTGTTTCACCCAGCCCGGAAGGTCAGAGATGTGTATTGGAAAATTTACAACTCCATCTACATTGGTTCACAGGATGCTCTCATAGCACATTACCCAAGAATCTACAATGATGATAAGAATACCTATATTCGTTACGAACTTGACTATATCTTATAATTTTATTGTTTATTTTGTGTTTAATGCACAGCTATTTCACACTTTAAACTTGCTTCGATTTGGTGATGTAAACTTTTAAACATTGCAGATCAGCGTAGAACTGGTCATAGAGGAAGAGCTAGAAATCCAGTAGCATGATTTTTAAATAACCTGTCTTTGTTTTTGATGTTAAACAGTAAATGCCAGTAGTGACCAAGAACACAGTGATTACACATACTATACTGGAGGAATTTCATTTTTAATTCATCTTTATGAAGATTTAGAATTCATTCCTTGTGTTTAAAGGGAATGTTTGAGAAATAAACATTTGTGTACAAAATGCTAACTTGTGTGTGTTTTTTGAACATGACTTGTAAAATGCGGAACTTTGATAAAGTATTGGTTTGTGTAGAATAAGTGGCTTAATTTCATTTTCTGTCACCTGGTTTATAGAAAGCAGGTATAAACTAGAAAAAGTGATGGTGTCTGTCAAAATTTCATTGTTCTCTTGATAATGACAATGAGAAGAGTAGCTTTGGGGGTGTTCATCTCAAACTAGCACAACCGTTCCATCACCGTGGGAAATATATCACCTTTGCTGGACTGTCTTGAATATTATTTTGCACTTACATAGCGCCTTTCATCTCTTGATTTCTCAAAATGCTTTATGAACATGTTTAAGGGAAGTGATTCAAGTCATGTCCAAATCTTGACTAGTCTGTTTAGAAAGGATGAGGAAGGTATCTGTTTCAAAACTGCTTTCTATCTGTTGGGAGTGAGGCTACCTAAGTAATGCTAGTAAAATAAGACAGTTTTGGGGCTCTTTTCCATGTCAAAAGCCACTAAACAATGTATTCAGTAATACCTGCCAAGCACCTACTGAGTACCAGCCACTGTGCTTAGTGTAGGGGATGCAAAGGTGCCTTTGACCTGCCCCTTGCCCTTAAGAAATGCAGTATAATGGAAAAGGGGAAAGACTTCTAGTTATATACTGTGTACTGCAATAGACAATTGTAGCAGCTAAATTGTTTATGTTTGCTTAATTTTTCATTTAGTAATTAGATAAATTGATGTGTAGGCATCTAGCATAAACTGAAATACCATTAAATTCTAGAGGAACCAAGCATTTAGGCAGTCATTAGTATTTTTTGGCAAATATTTTAAGTATATATTTTAGCTCTTCCTAATTTTCTGGCCAAGACTTTCTTAATTTTAGTCCTTTTACTACCATGGCTGTTCTGTTTTGTCTCCCTGTGATAGTACTTCTGTGAACTCTAACGGGAAATAAGACTGTGCAGCAGCATGTGCGTAGGATGACTCTGCCACTGTAAGTAAAATCACTCTACTGGAACTAGGAACTTTGGTCCTTGAACTGCTAACACTTCAGGGCCTCCCATTTTGAAGGCTTCCATGAGAAACAGTTTGTAATCAGCTAACTTCTTTGCTACTGAGCATTAGTTGACTCTTCAGGAAGGACTTGTAACTCCTTATTGTTCCTTGTGTAACAAAACTTTGTGAAAACACATCAGTGTGTACTAAAATGCAGTTTCCAAAGTGATTGTTCTTAGTTTTTTTTAACGGTAGTCCCCGTGCAACTTTAAATCTCGCTGTTGTCTACAGCTGCTGTCAGATGACCTCCAGTAATGACTAATCATGAAAATGGAAGAAGCAGATTTCAAAGCCAAAATTTGATTTTAAACCAGTCTTGGGAAAATTGAATTATATTTTCACTGCAGGTACTTAAAAAACTTGAGTTTTCTTGGGCCTGTGCTCTTTATGGGGACTATCAGTGCTTTGCAGAGGCAGTTGCAGAGCAAGAGATTACTAGTCACCTTAAGGGACTTCTTACCAAGGCAGATAGTTCGAAAAGAGTGAGACGAAGGAAATCTGAAGGCTATGACCTTAATAGTTGGGACCAAATAGAGGCTCACAGATATTTGAATTAGTTTATATGCTTATTATTTGAATAAGGAAAGCATTTTGTGATATGTGAAAGACGCTATGTGAAGTTTTAACTATCTTTCAAAGACTTCTTTTGCACTTTCTTTTGGTGTTCCTTAAAGCCAAACTTAAGCAGAAAGAAATTAATGTTCTTAAGGGGACAGTGGGTGGGTTTTTCCTGTGGGCTTTTGTTGGTTTTTCTGTGGGCCCTCTAATGGAATTGATCTCTTTGGCTGTTCGATTTTTTTCATATTGTATTTTTAAAATTTGTTGTATGGTGCCATGTGAGCATCAAGTACCACCAAATGAATAAAACTTATTATATCTAAAGTCTTTAGACCAGTTTTTAATCTTAGTGGACTCTATTACTATCACATTATACTCTGTTGTGGTTGTGCCATTTTAATAATACTACCTCTTTTGGTTGTTTTCCAAACAAGGGAACTTAATGTTGAAAAACCAAAGAACTTTATTAAATAAGAAACTGAAGAAGATAATTGAAGCCATATAGGTTGAGTTTGGTTCTTTGGTTTCTAATGCCTCTTAAATTCCCAGAACTTAAAAGGAGCAGAGACTGCAATTTTCACAGGGTTTGTCAACCTTGGCATTACTGACGTTTTAGGCCAAACACGCCTCATGGTGCGGGTGCTGCTGTGGGAGCTGCAGGGTGTTGAGCAGCATCGCCGATCTCTACCCCCTAGATGCCAGGTGCATCCCTGCTGCACTTGTGGCAACCAGAAATGCCTCCAGGTGCTGTGTGGGGGGCGAAAATCTCTCAGCAGCCTTACCTGAGGCTATTTTAAAAGCAGCACTCACATAAGTCGGATACAATTAAAGCACGATAAAACATTTCATTTAGGCAGTAGTTGCCCAGGAAGCAACTAGAAATAATGTTTCACAGATACTGAAACCTACACTGGGTGAAGCTCTGCAGCAGTCATGGGGAATGCAAGCTGAAAACGGGGGCCCTGGCTGACCGGGCTCCGTGGGTTGGGCTTCACTTGCAAACTAAGGTTACCCGGGGGGGGGGGGCACACACCTGGGTTGGGAGCCAGCTCCTCGCTTGGGTGTGCGGGAGGCAATGATGGATGTTTTTTACACTGATGTTTCCTCTTCCTTCCCCTCTTTCTAAAAATAAATACATCTTTTTAGAAAAACACGGAAGATATTAACTGCTGCCTGGTCTTGGCATCTTGGGGCACGGTAGGAACCAAGTGCTAGTCCAGGGACGGCACCCGTGGCTCGGTTCTCTCCACTTGGAATGCAGTGAAGGGCCCTGGTTGTCGGGGGGGGGTGGGTGGTGGTACGGCTGGAGGAGGACAGGCCGGACACGGAGACCCTTTTTTTAAAATGTGGATAGGAAGCCATAGAATCTAAGGTGACGTGATAGAGAATTTAGATTTCCAAGGCAGGCAAGATTGAGAGGCAGGACAGAGTATAAGTAAATGAGTAGGTCAGTGACATTCTAGTGTCTGTGCTGGAAAACCTAAATTCTTAATATATTTTAAAATCTAAAAGGGCAGCTTGCATGTCATATGGTCAAATAGGCTTTTTTTTTCTGGCTTAATACAATTCTTTGGAGATTTTAACATGTAAGTGAGTGAGGCTTTGGAGGGGATTCACTCTGAAGTGTTATCCTGAAATACCTTTGTGCTAGGAAGAAACTTATAAATAGGGTATATTGTTAATTGTTCCTATGTCTAATTCGCCCCAAATTTTTTTCTAGTATTGGGAAAAGAAGCGCCTGTATAGCCACTTAAATTCAACAATTTGGCTACATTTGCTGTTTTTAAAGAGCGTAATTTCATGAAACAATTTGTATTGCTGTTACTGCAAAGGAGTTTAGGACTAGAAAAAGGAGGCTGCTGAGGAAAGCAGAAAATGGTTCGAATACATTTTTGATGAGGTAGAAGTGGAAGTCAGGACACATGAGGGATTCTTTTGGATAGGAAGAGAAGCTGCTTTCTCAGTCCATAAGGAAGAGAATGTGGTAGGATGTAGGCATGCTGAAAAATTTGTCTATGAATATGTCAGGCAATATCAACATACAAAAATAGTTTTGCCGCTACTTTAGAAACAAGTAGACCTACATGAGGAAAATCAGACTTCTACAGAAAATTCAAAGTGGAAGCCTGGTAAAGTGTAACACTTGGTGTCTGTAGTATGTAATACGTGTAATGTGTAATATGCAACTGGATGCTTTTTATAGTTTCATCACACAGCACAGAATATAATTTTACACATTAGGAAAGAAAATCTCTTAGCACCAGCATGATCACCAAGGAAGAACTGTTTATGTGGGCCATTTGCTACTCAAAGTATGGTCAGGCAATCAGCATTCATGTCGTCTGGAGCTTTTTAGAAATAAAGCAATTAGGCAACACCCCAGACCTACTCAACAAGGATCTGCATTTAAATAAATATCCAGGTGATTTATATATACATCGAAGTTTGAGACGTGGTAGTCTAGGGTGCCACTCCATCCATTCCAGTAGGGCAATGATACGGTAATAAAAGTTTCGGAAGTAGAAGGTGTGGAAGCAAGGGGACCTATAGATACAGATACAAACGGGTGGTCAGAACACCCCTAGGATGGTACTTTGCTGAGACCTGGGTTAAATCAAGAGAGGGGAAAAAAGGATAAATTTTGATTGCATGAAGTACATTGAATTTTTACCATAAGACTATAGTATGTCTTGAATGCATCCTCAAAAATTCGTATGTTGAAACCTTAATCCCCAATGTGACGGCTATTAGGAAGTGAGTCCTCTGGGAGCCCTCATGATGGGGTTAATGCCCGTGTAAAGAAATGTGAGCGCTGGTCTCTCTCTTACCTGTCAGGATACAATGAGAAGGTGGCCAACTGTAAACCAGGAAGCAGACAGGCCCTCACCAGACAATGGATCTTGCTGGTACCTTGATCTTGGACTCCCCAGCCTCCAGAACTGTGAGGAATAAATGTTTGTTTAAGCCATCCAATCTTATGGTATTGTTAGTGCAGCCTGAACTGAACACCTTGGTTAGGCCAGTTTATTGAATAGTTAATAAACCTTATAGGTATATATCCATATTGCTTGTCCTCCTACTTAACTGACATTGGTTGCAGAAGAACCTTGGACAGAAGAGGAAGAGGCTCACTCTGTTGAGGCCAGTATAATATGGATGGGGATCGGAGTCAGGCAGCCTGTTGAGAATCTTCCTGCTTTTACTGTGCCCCAAGAGAAGAGAACAGGGAGTCATAATACGGGCTTACCAGTTGACTCTCAAGTTTGTCATAACCAGGCTGGTTATAAATTCAAGTCCTGGATTTATAACCTGGATATACCACTTAGTGGCTTTGTGACCTTGAGCAAGTTAACTTGACCTCTCTATGCTTCAGTTCCTGAATTTATGGAATTT